TCAGTGTTGACCGCAAATAAAGAATTGTTTTATTCAAACATAAATGTTGTGTGATTTATTGTTATCAAAACCAATGGAGAAGCTGCACAGCACATACAAGCTTTAAAACACCGCTTGCAATATCACCACGTGCCCTAAGGAATTGGCACAGGCGATAAGGAAACATGCAAGGAAAGTTATGAAACATTATCCCTGGCGGTGTCTTAAGCAGTATAGAGTGTCCACACCACTTCGACGAAGAATAACAAGTATGACGCTCTTGAGGATAATATTATACATTCACGTTGGCCATGACAAGTTGGTATCTGACATGATAGCCCCGTCTGGGAAAATACGAGCTAATTCGTAGCCTCGTCTTGGGAAATACGACTTCATTTGTGGGACGGATACGTTCTTGAATAACAACATCGACGTCTCATCCTTCTGGTGAACATCAGACGGTGAGTTTAATTAGAGAGATCGGTTTACGTTAGTTGTTTAGCAGATTTATATTCTATATTTTCAATTTACTGAAAACTTTTATTCATTTTTTGACAAGTAAGTTTTTTAGTGATAGCAATAGATATTACTTTGCAGTTTTGCACCGATGTTGATTCTTGCTCAAAGCATCCCAGTGAATCAGGATCAGAGTAGGTCTAGCGTGTGGGGCTGGGTCCAAATTTACTACCCGGGTACCCACCCCATTAGTTGGCCATGAGAAGCTGGTATATGACCTGATAGCCTCGTATTGGAAAATACGACTTCATTTGTGAGACTTGTATACTACTTGTATAACAACATTGATGTTCTCCTTCTTCTGGTGAACATCAAACGGTGTGTTTTATCAGATAGACCTTTTGACATTAGTTCGTTTAAATGCGTCAATAACAGTAATTTGATCCTGATCGATGTAAATAAAGGTGTGCGATCAGCCAATCGGTTCACACCCAATTTCGCTAAAATTATATAACACAATATTGAGTGAGTGAGTGGGTGAGTTATAGTCACATCAGCAATATTCCAGCCATAGTGTGACTAGACAAAGTAATACAGCTGTTTTCATTAAAGGGCAGTAACATTACTGGTCATTTACTTTTTGTTAAAAACAACCTTGAAAACAAGATCAAGATGAGATTGTCAAACAACGACACTATACATATCTCAGGTTATAAACAACCGTTAGCCAATGAGCTTTAATTACATCAAACTAACTCAAATTAATGTAATAACTGGTCTACTTCACTATGTTGTCTTGAAATGATAAGCTATAGTGTTTTCCTTCAGGTGGAAAGTTAAAGCTCGTTGTACACATTCATAATATGTATAATAATAAGAACCAGATGGTAATTAATGGTTGGTTGGTTGGTTGGTTGGTTGTTTAACGCCGCATTCAGCAATATTCCAGCTTATATGATGGCGGTCTGTAAATAATCGATTCTGTAAGAGACAATCCAGTGATTAATATCATGAGCATCGGTCCACGCAATTGGGATCAATGACATGCATCAACCAAGTCAGCCAGCCTGACCACCCGATCCCGTTAGTCGCCTCTTATGACAAGCATAGTCGCCTTTTACGGCAAGCATGGGTTGTTGAAGACCTATTCTTTGTCTCTCGTAACGAATATGAATGGTTCTGTACTTTTGAGATATGTGTATACTTTACAAATTTACAAATCTTCACGGGTCAGCGAGAGATATTAATGTGCTCGTTTCCATCGATGTTTATTGCCCCTTGAAGGATCCCCGTGGAACAGGATCAGAGTAGATCCAGTGTGCAAAATAAGTGCATACCCGGTAGCCCTAGGCTACCTTCTTGAGTGGTGGGGTAGCCTAGTGGTTAAAGTGTTCGCTCGTCACGCCGAAGACCCAGGTTCGATTATCGACATGGGTACAATGTGTGAAGCCCATTTCTGGTGTCCCCCGCTGTCATATTGCTCGAATATTGCTAAAAGCGGCATAAAATCAAACCCACTCACTCATTCACAACCACATCGTATTCTAGTTATCCAAATGATAAAATTCTGGATATGGTATCAGATTGTAGTCCTAACGTTGCTGAACCTGGAAGTGTATTTCCCTCTTTGCTACCAGACGTCTGCTTGTATTTGTCAGGGTAAACACCTGGCTAATTAAATCTGAAATAGGCTGACATCTTTAGTTGGAAAACTCAAGGTGCCTCCCTTAAATCAGGATACTTACTGTGTCCTACAACCAATTCTTGAGTATCAGAAACTGCACCCCCTATTCTACATCCGATTCTTGAGTTTCAGGCTCAAACTACTCCCCCTTTTCTACATCCGATTCTTAAATATCAGGCTCAAACAACTCCCCTGTTCTACATCCGATTCTTTTATATCAGACTCAAACTACTCCCCCTATTCTATATACGATTCTTTAATATTAGGTTCAAACTACTCCCCTGTTCTACATCCGATTCTTTAATATCAGGCTCAAACTACTGCCCTGTTCTACATCCGATTCTTTAATATTAGGCTCAAACTACTCCCCTGTTCTACATCCGATTCTTTAATATCAGGCTCAAACTACTGCCCTGTTCTACATCCGATTCTTTAATATTAGGCTCAAACTACTCCCCCTATTCTATGTACGATTTCGACACCGACAAGATGGCGAGTGACACTCCTTTTCTCTACGTGCATGTAGGGGGTATATATTTTTATTTACTGACCAATAACTAGTTCCTCTGCATGTGATATGATATAACAGTAATCAAAAACAGCTGTTGATTACATACATGTGCAGCTTTAAACGAAGCCTGCAATAATATCCCCCAGTTAATTAGCACAAGCGATAAGGAAACATGCAAGGAAAGTTATGAAACATTATCCCTGGCGGTGTCTTAAGCAGTATAGAGTGTCCACACCACTTCGACGAAGAATAACAAGTATGACGCTCTTGAGGATCATATTATACATTCACGTTGGCCATGACAAGTTGGTGTCTGACATGATAGACTCGTCTGGGAAAATACGAGCTCATTTGTAGCCTCGTCTTGGGAAATACGACTTCATTTGTTGGACAAACACGTCTACTTAAATAACAACATCGACGTTCTCATCCTGCTGGTGAACATCAGACGGTGAGTTTAATTAGAGAGATCGGTTTACGTTAGTTGTTTAGCAGATTTATATTCTAAATTTTTAATTTACTGAAATCTTTTATTCATTTTTTGACAAGTAAGGTTCGTAGTGAATCAGGATCAGATTAGGTCTAGCGTGGCTACATTTTATGTTAGTGGAAAAAAATCAAGACCTGTTGACATTAGTTTGTTTCAATGCGTTAATAACAGTAATTTGATCCTGATCCCTGAAAATAAGGTGAGTGAGAGTGAGATGTCATGATGTCAATCACTGGATTGTCTAGTCGATTATTTGAGTCCGAACATGATTATCTTCAGTCCGCCGTCACATAACTGGAATATTGCTGAATGCGGCGTTAAATCGTGAAACAACAAACAAACACACAAAACATGTTACAAACAACACTTTAAATGCAAATTCTATTTCAACTGCATCCAATGGTCTCACCACTTTTGTAGCAAATGCTGCAAAAAGGTATTTTTAAAGGTGCTTGTTTATCCACTAATATAATCATGTATATTGATGTAGAAACATCTAAACTGAATGTTGTCAGATCTTGCTCATCCAGTCACGTCCTTGTGTTAGAAACTTGCAGATATTATCCAATATCAAGGCCTATGTTACGCCTGTGATCCTTCTCTAGTGTGCGATCTGTCGATATTATACACATCAATCCAATACAGTGTATTCTTGTAACAGAATAAGCATCATTAATAAGTTTGCATTATTTGTAACTTTGCTATTAAACGAAATAGTTTTCTTCAGAATAATCCTGTTATATATAACCATCAGGCAAAATCAACTTGTGTTGTGTCATATATGAATATAATATCCATTCAGCGTGTGCACATACAGCGTTCTGTTCAAGTATAATTAATTACGTATAATTAATAATATATACATGCATAAGTGGCCAGTGGTCCCTTTAAGTGAATAAAAACATTTAGCATCACACCAGTAAGTGTTTATGATGGATCAGTTCGAAGAGTCATCAACGATCACGTAAAGGATCACGTTACTTCGCTCATGGAAACAAAGCATTAACTAAAATAGTCATATATCAGCAACAATGATTTATTTCAAGACGAATTATGGTATTTGAGATACACATTAAAATAGGCTCCCATTATATGATGCTTGGGGTATTAGCCTACGGAAATGGATTGGTGTTTAGGCTCGGTGACTGTATGTAACTTCCCAAAATAACATAGATCGTTGCTCAAATAGAACAAGTTACATGTTGTGATATTTGGCATACCCCGTGTATTGCTGTTGCATCAGAACAAACATGCTGACCATGTGATTTTGTCCCTCTTCTCTGTACGATTCCTATGCATCACTGTTTGACGTAATTTAGATGAGGACAGACCCGTGGAGATCCCGGGTAGAATAGGTCTTCAGCTACCCTTGCTTGACGTAAAAGGCGAATATGAATGTCGTAAGAGGCGACTAACGGGATCGGGTGGTCAGACTCGCTGACCTGGTTGATGCATGTCATCGTGTTCCAATTGCATGGATCGATGCTTATGATGTCAATCAGTGGAATGTCTGGTCCAGACTCGATTATATACAGACCGCCGTCATATAGCTGGAATATTGCTGATAGCGGCGTTAATCAACAAACAACAAACAAACAAACATGAGGACATCTGAAACTTATTTCGCTTATTTTTGCTTTCACTTTACAGATTTTACAATATTCCAGAATAGTTTAGATGGGCTACATGGCCTTGTGCACTATATTTTATATGTAACTTTACTCAAAAAACATTTCATTTAGAAATCTCCGGGGAACACAGCCAGAATGATGAAGAGGTACGTGCTGTCTGTTGCCATGGCTCTGTGTGTCATTGGTGACTTCATCCCGGGCTTTGGAAGCAGCAGAGTGATGGCGGTTATTCCGAAGCAAGGTATTTATACTGTAGATAAAGTTACAGACGATCAGGCTGCATAAGGCAATGGTAAAGTCAACCTCTTCCTCCGTCAACTTAATGCCTAAGAATCCTTTAATATTCTGAGACACATTCAGTGGACAATTATTATTTGAGTTATGAAATATGCATCTTCCTGAGGCAAGGGAGTTAACTGACTGTAAAAGTCCAGTTTACACCTTTGCAGAACTAGACGAATTTCTGGGCTCGATCGAAGTGCCATCAGTGACTATTACGAGTTATGTCCCTTCTAAGTCCCTCCTATTGACCAATCAGATTCCACCTCTCATATCACATGCATTGGCTTCAAACAAAATCGTGGCCCCCGGTCATAACGCCCTGACCGATAATCAGGGGCCGTATTTATCAAACAAGTTAGTTTTGACTTTAAAAAAAACTTAAGTTTCTGAAAAATTACTTAGCCAAGTCAAAAACTTAAGTTGGTATTCACGAAGCGTCTAAGTAAAAAACTTAGCTAAGTCTGCCGTGAGAAACTAAGTCGATTTCACCGAATGCAAACACGTGATCACTAAGGACTATCCCAGCTATTTTTAGCCTACCAGTGGAACTCTTTTTACAAAGAGAGAGAAAAACGTCATCGGGGAATTCCCGGACAGTGCAGACGATAATAAACACCGCTGCGAGCTCCAAGATAGGCCCACGCCATGACCGAAGACGCGAAAAAGAGACGGCCAAACTTTACCAAAGAAGAATCGTTACTACTAGCAGAGCTGGTGGCATCAAACAAGGTGGTGATTGAAGGAAAGTTTGGCCCCGGCATCATCTCCTTGAAGCGACAGGAGGCGTGGCAGGTACGTGAGGTAGTGAGTGGTTTTTTAATGGGTTTTTTGAGAGGTTTAGCTGCTTACATCATTAATTTTACATACATATGTAGCAGACAAGGCCGTAATGCGTATCAAGGAATGCATGTGGTCGAATAATAACCAAGACGTTTTCTAACCTTCCATCATCACACTTCGTAAGTCCAGTACCACGGGAATGATATATTTTGGTCATATTTAGACACTGAGACCCAAACAATTATTTTCGTCTTTTTCAAGTTGCACTGTGGATTGTTTCTTCATCGGGGTAGGCCTATTGTCTGTACCCCTAACAATTTTTACCCAAAATTTTCGGTGATTTTGAACCCAAACCAGTAGCCTAGATCTATGTCATTTTGTACTCCTTTTGGGGCATTTGCATTAGCTTCTAAAGTATACATTAGTCCTAGGCCTCATGTTAGTATCCTAAAGTTACATTACTATCACTTCCATGTCAAAAGCATACAATTAAGTTAGTTTAACTAATTTAACAATAACTTATTACAGGGTCAAGATGTCATTTCCATATCAAGACCAATCAATGTGTTCCTATGCATTAATTAGTAATAAATATATTGTGATGGATCTCATACAACCTTGATCTAGTGCTGCATAGTCATATTATAAACTTGATGAAATGTTATATTATGTAATACACATATACTCTTGTTTACAATATTAATGTAAAACATATATGACAATATACTGAAATATGAATAATATTATTTTCTTAGTAACACAGTCCCATATAATTTTGGGTCTAAACAGCTTTGCTAAAACTGGGCTTTGGATACAAAATATGATACATATCGCAATACTCAGTTCATGATACAATATCACTTCAATTTTTATATTTCAATGGACATAAAAACTATTAAAAGGCTTAAAACATCATGAATAATTGGTCTCATGTTTAAAAATAAAGATATCTCTTTTCAATCAGTACTTTATTTCAGAAATCAATTTGAGTGTTGATACCACAAGGACAGAAATTAAGTCTTAAAACTGTGTACAATGTACAGTGTGCATATAGCATGATTTAATACTGACAAAAATTATTAATGTAATTTGATGTGTTTTTCATTTGAGTTGTTATGTTTATATTGCAGATGATTACAGACACCCTCAATGCAAGCTTAATGCACAGGAGGACCAAGGAGGAGGTTGAAAAGAAATGGAAAAACCTGAAGAGCCAGTCAAAGAAAGCCTTTTCTAATTTCAGGCTGCAAACCATTGCCACTGGTAAACATACTTATGGATACATTAGTTTAGTTATTAAATAGTTTTGATAAAAAAGGTGACCTAAAATGATATAGTTAATGTGAAAGTGGAAAAAGGATATTGTCATTCCTTCACAGTTACTACATTGTAACTTGTTGCTGTATATTAAGAGTATAATTATACCAACACAAACCTATCTCAATGTTTGAAGGTCAAAGGAGTACTTGTCTCTATATTGTGTTGGTTTTGTGATAATATGTTTCAAAATACTATAACACCATTCACACTATAATCTATACTGCTTCTTGCACTTACAGGAGGCGGTCCACCTCCCATCCCTGTAAGTCCTGTCACAGATGCAGTTGTAGAGGCCATAGGGAGGGACAACATGTCTTTGACAGGAATATCCAACTCCTGTGATTCAACAGCCCTACAACTGCTTGATGTCATGACATCAAGAGAGAGGTACAAATGACATAAATGTTGATGTTAATCATTTTGATATTGTACTAACATTATTGCATCACTTAGTATTTCATGTTTGTCAGCTTTGTTACATACTCCCCAAAATATATTTATGAAATCAAAATTTAAAGTATACTTCTTTAAAGTTCTTTCCTAATGTGTCTGCCACAGGCAGTCAATTTGCAATTATTGACAAGTCTCTGTATAAAAACAAAACACAAGGCTCCGAATACACAAATAATGTATATATATTTCTTTCAGCGGTGAAGTTGAGGACATGGCCAATGTGTTCCACGTGCCAGAGAGGACTTGCCAGTGCCAGAATCAGACTTCTATGGAAGCATTAAACAAAGAAAAACTTGTATTAGAAATTGAATGTTTAAGATTAAGAAAAGAGTATCTAACAAAGAAAATTTACAAAGTAGAAGAATAGACTGTAAGTGGGGACCGACCATTTGATATTTGCTTGGGGGTAGGGGCTAGTATTATATTTTGTATCAAGATTAGATAGTTTTTCAGCTACAGACACAGATATCGTTTTATTTAAAGATATGAGCTAAATGTTTTTAGAAAAACACCTTGCAACAATGTATTTTTCCCACCCATCCCCAAATATCAAATGGGCTGTCCCTTAGGAAAATTTAAATTAATACTAAGTGCATACTTAGAGTGCCAAATAATAGTAGCAGGAAATAACTTACATGGAAAGTAGGTGATTGGAAACTGTTCCCTATATCTCAACCCTGTTGCTGCAGGTGCAATGGCTGATAGACCTTGCATCTGTGCCCTTAGCTGTCCGGATTGGCTGTTTCCATGTACAACTGGCATAGGCACATTCCTGTCTTTGCTGCGGTTATGCAGCACTGCACAGGCAGTTATTACCTAGAAAAATGTTTAAAAAGCATATACAATACCCTTTCATGAACTGATGTGGCCTTAATCTAATGACAAATATTTCTAGAATGTGTTGAATTTGACAAAGAGTGAAATGTATGGTCTGTATTTCAAATATGTTATACTATGTACTGTTTGATCTCAGATATATTTGCCTAATTTTTTCCCTTAAGCTAGATATAAAATAAGTCAAAAGAAAATGAATATTGAACATCAATACAGATACAGATTATGAAATTGCGTTGACCTTTTTACAATAACACATGACAGTGAGTGAGTGAGTGAGTTTAAAGTCATATTGATGAAATGTTACTGTCTTCATTGAATAAAAAATTAATGTTCACCGTATTGTGTTTGTTTATTTATCAACCTACAGTATATCTAGTCCTGACAATAATAATGTGAAAAAGAAATAATTCCACTAAAGTGTAAGTCTATGAAGACTCTCCATTTTTTACTGAAATTGAATAAAAAGAAATGAAAACATTTTCTAATTTCTATACCTTGCAAGCCTTCTGTGGGGAAAGTCTGATTTCCCCATGTAAAACATGAAACCGACGTTTCAGCTGCCCAATTCCCCTCTCCACACAACTCCTTGTTTTCTTATGTGATCTGACAATTGCAATGAATAATCATTATTAGCAGATAATCATATAAAATTTAAATTGGGAGTATAAGAAAAAGAAGAACACATTTTGCTATGTTCTCAGCGATAGAAACTAACATTTTCAATCCATTGGTCATTATAATGACAACATATTGCAAACCCCTTAATATTGCTGTTTCTTGTTATGTGTGTGGTTATATTTCATAGAATCAATGCTTCATACTAGTATGTTTTCATACATAAAAGGGAAGTGAGATAAAATAATTATTATTTCTTTCTGATGAATATATAATCAAACATATTTTTTTACCTGATTTGCTACTTACATAATTTTACGACACTTAAGTAGGAATTAAACGGAATGATGCCTGAATAATACTTTACAGCAAATATGTGTAACTCTTCCATTCCGTTTTTAGGTTTGAGATAGTATTCTACCTAACCAGGGGAAGTCACTCTATTGCTGAGTGCTCGTAGTGAACTGAACGAAGTAATATTTATACCTGTTGTAGTTTGTCTGTGGTCCTTGGAGAGGACGCAAAAATGGTGTTAGGATCCATCTCCGACAAGGGTAGCCACTGTCTCGAAGCAGATGACAACTTACTGGTAGCCAGTTCCCCTCAAACATCCGACAAAACCCACTTGTTGTCAAAATGCGGGAGTCGTGTGTTGAGCCAGGCCAACGTGCAACAGTGTCGATTATACGATCGTCGCTGTCAAACACTATTTGAGTATTTACACTATGGTAATTATGCCTGTTGACAAATTCTTTCTCATTAACTGATGGGGCCTGAATCTGAATGTGGGTGCCATCAATTATCCCAACAATACCCGGGAAATTGGCAGTCTGATAGAAGCGCTGTTGATGGCGTCTTAATTCTTGGGGTTGTACAGGAAAGGTAACAAATCTACGAAGGATACGGTGACTTGTGAGGGAGTCAAGCGTTTGAAAAATCACCCGAGATATAGTGGGTTGGCTCAGACCATGGTCATCACCGTTACACATTTGAAATTTGCCAGTGGCAAGATAACGCAAAGTGACAAGCACCTTCGTAACGCAGGACACGGCACAACTCCGCTGTGTTATAGGACTCAACTCCTGCTCAAGGATATCACAGATATAAACAATACTGTTCCTATCAAATCTGTACCGCTGTATCAGTTCATTGTCATCTAATGAATGTAGTATATCTCTTCTCTCATTAAATATTCTTGAATTGCGTCTGGCAGCCATTATACATGACTTAAGTCAAACATACATGATTTAAGCCTAGCAAGGTGAGTCTTAATAGTTAAGTCAGAAAATGACAAAACTTAAGTCTAAGTTTTTTGTTAAATATGACTTAAGTTTTTCCACTAAACTTAAGTAAAAAAACAAGTAAACTAAGTATTTTTAACTGACTTAAGTTTTATTTATGACTTAAGTTGTTTGATAAATACGGCCCCAGGATCTATATTGTAATATAACGGGTCTTACTTCGCAAAGTCTATCAAATCATGTGAGCACCTTGATTAAAAACATGAAATGATTTGGAAGATATCTGTTGACGTTAAGATAACGGTACACATGCTTTGCAAATCCTGTAATCGACCGAAATCTTAACGCCAGTTCACGAACCGGATGTCAATTTCGTTACGCGATTTTGATTGGACGATGTATAAACTCGTTAGTCCAGCCAAAGTACAACTCAAATATTCCAGTCTAATTCGGCCAGGGTTAAAACTGGACTTTTATAGTCAGTTAAAACCCTAGCCCCAGGAAGATGTGAAATCTGAGGCAAATACTAAGGCAACATGTGATGATAGACCTACATTTGCTTAAAGTTAATCCTTCATTTTGTTTATCATTTCTGTAAATTGCTGATGATGGGATAGGTTGTTTTTTTTAGTATACATCATATATTCATTTGAATTAAATGCATCTATTTTATCAATTTGTTAATGCCTTTGTTTTAGGTATTTCAGACACCTCAGTCACAGCAAGAAAAACAGGTAATGTGTTTTATCAGCTATATATTTATGATAGATATCCCATATAGACTTTTAAATTTGTGAAAACATCCTACCTATCCTTAACATATGAAGGTGACACGTCAGAGTGGAGAATAAATGTCCAAAGATTCAAAAACTGTAACTGATTCTATTTCGGATACCAAACTAAAAGTACCAGTGAACATCAGGGGTAGAATAGATCTTCAGTAACCCATTATTGTCGTAAAAGGCGACTTTTCTTGTTGTAAGAGGCGACTAACGGGATCGGGTGGTCAGGGTCGCTGACTTAGTTGATGCATGTCATTGTGTCCCAATTCCTTGGATCGATTCTCATGAATTGTCTGGTCCAGACTCGATTATATACAGACCGCCGTCATGTAGCTGGAATATTGCTGAGCGCGACGTTAAACAACACACAAACAAATCAGATACCAAATTAATACTCGCTGCACATCCAATTTCACATGGTAGAATAGAGCAGATGTGGCCTCTAAAATCGGAGCGATTGTGTAAACATATTTTCATTATGATTGAGACCAAGTATGTTCAAATAAACCATGTTAAAATGTTGAAAATTGAACGCTTTCATTGAAGGCGAGCTAACAATCGGTTTGACCTTAAAGATCAAATTAATGGCTCATGAACGTTCCACAGACCCTTAATCATGAAGACGTGCGGATGTCGTTACGAATCTTAAACCCTTTGAAGTGATAGCTTGATGAAGTGATCTCCAGCGGCTGACGAAAAGTCTGATCTTCATCACACAAATATCGCATTGTGCCCGTGTTTTCGTTTAACGTAAAACTTAAACTGTATACTTGTGTGGACACTCATTCACCATATAATAAAACATCTTATTTTGCAGGCCACTTTGGTTCTCTCCTGCTGTCGATGAGGTGTGCCTTCTGTCGCCGACAGGGAAATCAGCCATGCATCGATCGAGTTTGTTCCTTGATATCAGAAAGTCACTAAATATGGCGAGACGATAACTACACACGAGTGAGTGAGTGAGTAGCGGTTTATGACGTTAGTGACAATATTCAAGCAATATACCATGTATAGGAATAAATTTGTTTGGTAGCCACACCGCGTTTTTCCTAGGATCATGCATTAAACGATGACTAAGTTGATGCATTGCATTGTGTCCCAATTGCGTCGATCGATGCTCATGATATCAATCACGAAATGTCTGGTCCAGTCTCGATTATTTACAGACAGCTGTAACCATACTCCCTCACTCACTCAAAGGATTATAAAACGATACTAATGTATATTCTATGACGAACTTTTGTTTTATTTTGGCATTATGAAATAAAAAATGCAGTTTTCATCAAAAATGCAATGCAGATAATGCCGATGTAGAGATGATGATGTTCAGTGGTGACCGCAAATAAAGAATTGTTTGATTCAAACATAAATGTTGTGTGATTTATTGTTATAAAAAAACAATCGAAAAGCTGCACAGCACATACAAGCTTTAAAACACTGCTTGCAATATCACCAAGTGCCCTAAGGAAATGGCACAGGCGATAAGGAAACATGCAAGGAAAGTTATGAAACATTATCCCTGGCGGTGTCTTAAGCAGTATAGAGTGTCCACACCACTTCGACGAAGAATAACAAGTATGACGCTCTTGAGGATCATATAACACATTCACGTTGGCCATGACAAGTTGGTATCTGACATGATAATCTCGTCTGGGAAAATACGAGCTCATTTGTAGCCTCGTCTTGGAAAATACGACTTCATTTGTGAGACAAACACGTCTACTTGAATAACAACGTCGACGTTCTCATTCTGCTGGTGAACATCAGACGGTGAGTTTAATTAGAGAGATCGGTTTACGTTAGTTGTTTAGCAGATTTATATTCTATATTTTCAATTTACTGAAATCTTCTATTCTTTCTTTGACAAGTAAGGTTCGTAGTGATAGCAATAGAGATTAATTTGCAGTTTTGCACCGATGTTGATTCCTGCTCAAAGCATCCCAGTGAATCAGGATCAGAGTAGATCCAGTATGCAAAATATGCGCTTACACGGTAGTCCCAGGTTACCTTCTCGGGCGGTGGGGTAGCCTAGTGGTTAAAGTGTTCGCTCGTCACGCTGAAGACCCAGGTTCGATTCTCGACATGGGTATAATGTGTGAAGCCCATTTCTTGTGTCTTATGTCATATTACTGGAATATTGCTAAAAGCGGCATAAAATCAAACTCACTCACCCATTCACAACCACATCTTACTCTAGTTATCCAAATGATAAAATTCTGGATATGGTATCAGATTGTAGTCCTAACGTTGCTGAAACTGGAATAGTATTTCCCTCTTTGCTACCAGACGTCTGCTTGTAATTGTCAGGAAGACACCTGGCTAATTTAATCTGAAATAGGCTGATATCTAGATAGTTGGCTAATGCTGATGAAAACGGATTTCACATTTGGATCCAGAGGTGGGTAGGGGGGTTGTCGTGGGTAGGTCCAGGATCCAGGGTCCAGGGTCCAGGGTCCAGGGTCCAGGGGTCCCGACACGCGCATGAAACGGCATCAAATTCGTGGAATTTTACCTGATCACATACAGTCTACATTTAGCACTAAGATTCCGCGAATGCGAAATAGTACCGTTGACCGGCATTAATTCTTCGACAATTAATGCAAGGTAATGAATTTTGGCGATTGATATACATTTTGATGGATATCTCATACTACAACAATGAAGTCAAAATGACTTGAAATTGTTGTTAATATAAACTTCAAACACCTGCCGACAGTGTTCCTTCAGTCGCCTCAAAGTCACCAGGGCCCACTTGCACAAAGCGATCTTAGCGCTAAGATGAACGTAACTCCCATACTTTAACATAGGCTTACGAGAGGCTTAGCGCTAAGATGACTTTGTGCAAGTGGGCCCAGCTCTCATGACTTCGAAAAACACCCAAAAACTCTTGTCGGTATGCACTTTCTCAACAACAACAGTCTGTGTAAACGTATTCTACAACAAGTAAAGTCTATTTAAAAGACTCAAGTGAGCATCTGTCTTACTTTTTTAAACAACCGTCAATGTCGTTGTCTTTTGATGTCTCGCCCGCTTTCATAGAATTCGTTTTATACCGCGACTACGCTATTGTTTCACTATAAGGTATCCCGGTGTTCTTGTTTGTATGCTTACATCGTAAACAACATGTGTGAATGAGATGTATTTGAATTTATAAAAAATACTTTTTAAAACGCCTTATGTTGTAGATTTTAAATGACAAATATCATATGGCAGAAACTTTTTTGTGGGAAAAGACGAATGAACATAATAAAAGTAGATTCTGCCCGCGGCTGAAATCTACATCCGCTTGGGGTTCGTAACATTTTTCCTGCTCACGAAATAAACTGTGGATATTTGGGTAAGTAAACCACTTTAATCACATTTCGATGACTTGTACATGTGTAGAAATGTGTTATATATATATTTCGGCCAGATATGTGCTTGTCAATAAGTGTATCATAAAGAAATCGACCTGGATATGGAATGTAAACAAGCCGGCAAGATGGCGAGTGACAAACCGTTGTAGTAGGTTTAAACGACTCCCCCTAAATTTGACTCTAGAGTCATATGGGCCTAGGCTTACATGACTCCCCTAGCCAGGTTCAAAACACTCCCTCTGGGCTCAGCTAACTCCCCTACAGGGCCCAAATGACTCCCCTTGTTTCGAAACAAAATGATTACAGAATAGATCAAACATATCTTGTATTATAAAGGTTTTCAACCCCTCTTCCTAATTTTCTTTTCTAAAATGTCAGGTTACAAGTGTTACCCAATATTGTGTCCGATGTTTTAGTACAAGTTATGTTATTATAGTTTTATATTCAACTTTAGTTGGAAAATTCAAGGTGCCTCCCTTAAATCAGGATACTTTTCCTAACCTATAATTTATTTTAAGAAGACTCCCTGTATCATACATCCGATTCTTCAGTTTCAGGCTCAAACTACTCCCCCTATTCTATGTCCGATTCTTGAGTATCAGGCTCAAACTGCTCCCCCCTATTCTATATCCGGCTCTTGAGTATCAGGCTCAAACTACTCCCCCTATTCTATGTCCGACTGTTGAGTATCAAACTCAAACTACTCCCCCTATTCTACACCCGATTCTTAAATATCAGGCTCAAATTGCTCCCCTTATTCTATATCCGACTCTTGAGTATCAGGCTCAAACTACTCCCCCTATTCTATGTCCGACTCTTGAGTATCAGGCTCAAGCTACTCCCCCTATTCTATGTCCGACTCTTGAGTATCAGGCTCATACTACTCCCCCTATTCTATATCCGGCTCTTGAGTATCAGGCTCAAACTACTCCCCCTATTCTATATCCGACTCTTGAGTATCAGGCTCAAACTCCCCCCCCCCCCCCCCCCTATTCTATATCCGACTCTTGAGTTTCAGGCTCAAACTGCTACCCCTATTCTATGTCCGACTTTTGAGTATCAGGCTCAAACTGCTCCCCCTATTCTTCACTTGATTCTTCACATCAGGCTCAAACTGCTCCCCCTATTCTATATCCGACTCTTGAGTTTCAGGCTCAAACTACTCCCCCTATTCTTCACTTGATTCTTCACATCAGGCTGAAACTGCTCCCCCTATTCTATATCCGACTCTTGAGTATCAGGCTCAAACTACCCCCCCCCCCCCCCCCCCCCCCCCTATTCTATGTCCGACTCTTGAGTGTCAGGCTCAAACTGCTCCCCCTATTCTTCACTTCATTCTTCACATCAGGCTCAAACTGCTCCCCCTATTCTATATCCGACTCTTGAGTATCAGGCTCAAACTACTCCCCCTATTCAATGTCCGACTCTTGAGTATCAGGCTCAAACTACTCCCCTTATTCTATGTCCGACTCTTGAGTATCAGGCTCAAACTACTCCCCTTATTCTATGTCCGACGCTTGAGTATCAGGCTCAAACTGCTCCCCCTAAGTTTTATTACCACCAATGATTCTGAGCTGATTGGGTACCCTAGTGGTTAAAGTGTTTGCTCTTCACGCCGAAGACCCGGGTTCGATTCCCCACATGGGTACAATGTGTGAAGCCCTGGTGTTCCCGTCGTGATATTGCTGGAATATTGCTAAATGCGGCCTAAAACCATACTCACTCACTTGCTAAATCGGGTGTCCTGGTCACCCTTGTTGGCTAGATGTCGTCCATATATGTTTTCCACAATCTACGTCATATCTGCATCATACATGTACGCCTCAATTGAGAAATTGTCAGATCTTATTTACCTCCAGTTTAGACAATGTAATGTCTTCAATTTTGGTATCGACCGACATTTCAGATATTTTATGTGACATGTTGATTGATGTCGGTGTTATTGCAAACTGACGAAATTTAAAATATATGGTGACGTCAAGTTTGTGACAATATGGTACAGACCACCTTCCGCTTTCAATAACTCGAGATAACCCTAGGTAGGCCACGATTGGTGGCCAGGTCGTTAATCGGTGAGCTCCACTCTCTTGTCTTCAGTGTTGGTATCGTTCGACATTTCAGATATTTTATGTGACATGTTGATTAATGTCGGTGCTATTGCAAACTGACGAAATTTCAAATATATAGTGACGTCAGGTTTGTGACGAAATGTTACAGACCGCTTTCTTTCAATTACTCGAGATATCCCCAGATAGACCACGATCGGTGGCCAGGTCGTTGATCGACATGTGCGTGGCACTTGGGCTCCACTCTCACACCATGCATTGGTCAATCTGCGACCAGGTAACAAACGTGATCTATCCAGGGATGTCTCTCTTATATGAATGTGGTAACTACAACATACTGGCAGATGAATGTTCAGTGCTTCGGCGCGTGGATTGACTTTGGATTTAGAGTAGTACATGTTATAAAGACCCGTGAAGATTCCGGGGTAGAATAGGTCTTCAGCAACCCATGCTGGCCGTAAAAGGTGACTATGCTTGTCGTAAGAGGCGACTAACGGGATCGGGTGGTCAGACTCGCCGACCTGGTTGATGCATGTCATCGTGTTCCAATTGCGTGGATCGATGCTCATGATGTCAATCACTGGATTGTCTGGTCCAGACTCGATTATTTACAGACCGCCATCATATAGCTGGAATATTGCTGAGTGCGGCGTTAAACAACAAACCAACCAACCAACCAACCAACAATGCACTGGTCAATCTGCGACCAGGTTACAAACGTGATCTATCCAGGGATGTCTCTCTTATATGAATGTGGTAACTACAACATACTGGCAGATGAATGTTCAGTGCTTCGGCACGTGGATTGACTTTGGATTTAGAGTAGCACATGTTATAAAGACCTGTGAAGATTCCGGTGTAGAATTGGTCTTCAGCAACCAATGCTTGTCGTTAGAGGCGATTAACGGGATCGGGTAATCAAGGCTCACTGACTTGGTTGATGCATGTCATCGTATGCCAATTACGTAGGTCAATCCTCATCAGATATTTTATGTGGTAACTACAAAATACTGGCAGATGAATGTTCAGTGCTTTGTGCGCGTGGATTGACTTTGGATTTAGAGTAGCACATGTTATAAAGACCCGTGAAGATTCCGGGGTAGAATTGGTCTTCAGCAACCCATGCCTGTAACGGGATTGGGTGGTCAAGGCTTACTGACTTGGTTGATACATGTCATCGTATCCCACTCACGTAGGTCGATCCTCATGATGTCAATCACTGGATTGTCTGGTCCCGAACTCGATTATTTTCAGTCCTCCGTCACACAACTGGAATATTGCTGAGTGCGGCGTTAAACCGAGAAACAACAAACAAACACACAAAACATGTTATAAACAACAATTTTAATGCAAATTCTTTTTCTCCTGCATCCAATGTTCTCACAACCTTTGTACCAAATGCTGCAAAAAGGTATTTTGAACTGATGCTTGTTTATCCGCTATTATAATCATGTATATTGATGTAGAAACATCCAAACTGAATGTTGTCAGATCTTGCTTATCCAGTCGCGTCCTTGTGATAGAAACTGGCAGATATTATCAAATATCAAGGCCTATGTTACGTCTGTGTTCTTTCTCTAGTGTGCGATCTGTCGATATTATTACATATCTATCCCATACAGAGTATTCTTGTAACAGAATAAGCATCATTAATAAGTTTGCATTATTTGTAACATTGCTATGAAACGAAATAGTTTTCTTCAGAATAATCCTGTTAAATATAACCATAAGGAATAATCAACTTCTGTTGTGTCATGTGTGAATAGAATATCCATTGTGCGTGTGTACATACAGCGTTCTGATCAAGCGACTTATAATTAATAATATAAACATGCATAATGGTCCAGTGGTCCCTTTACGTGAATAAAAACATTTAGCATCACACCAGTAAGAGTTTATGATGGATCAGTTCGAAGAGTCATCAACGATCACGTAAAGGATCACTTTACTTCGCTCATGGAAACAAAGCATTAACTAAAATAGTCATATATCACCAACTATGATTTATTTCAAGACGAATTATGGTATTTGAGATACACATTAAAATAGGCTCCCATTATATGATGCTTGGGGTATTAGCCTACGGAAATGGATTGATGTTTAGGCTCGGTGACTGTATGTAACTTTCACAAATGGCAGATCGTTGCTCAAATTGAACAAGTTACATGTTGTGATATTTGGCATACCAGGTGTATTGCTGTTGCATCAGAACAAACATGCTGAATATGTGATTTTGTCCATCTTCTCTGAACGATTCCTATGTATCATGTAATCCAGAAGAGGACAAACCCGTGAAGAGCTGGGGTTGAATAGGTCTTCAGCTACCCTTGCTTGACGTAAAAGGCGAATATGAATGTCGTAAGAGGCGACTAACGGGATCGGGTGGTCAGACTCGCTGACCTGGTTGATGCATGTCATCGTGTTCCAATTGCATGGATCGATGCTTATGATGTCAATCAGTGGAATGTCTGGTCCAGACTCGATTATATACAGACTGCCGTCATATAGCTGGAATATTGCTGATAGCGGCGTTAAACAACAAACAACAAACAAACAAACATGAGGACATCTGAAACTTATTTCGCTTATTTTTGCTTTCACTATACTGATTTTACATTATTCCAGAATAGTTTAGATGAGCTACATGACCTTGTGCACTATATTTTATATGTAACTTTACTCCAAAAACATTTCATTTAGAAATCTCCGGGGAACACAGCCAGAATGATGAAGAGGTACGTGCTGTCTGTTGCCATGGCTCTGTGTGTCATTGGTGACTTCATCCCGGGCTTTGGAAGCAACAGAGTGATGGTGGTTATTCCGAAGCAAGGTATTTATACTGTAGATGAAGTTACAGACGATCAGGCAGCATGGGGCAATGGGAAAGTCATCTTCTTCCTCGGTCAACTTAATGCCTTTGAATCCTTTAATATTCTGAGACACACTCAGTGGACAATTAGTATACGAGTTGTGAAATCTGCATCTTCCTGAGGCAAGGGAGTTAACTGACTGTAAAAGTCCTATTCCCACCCTTGAAGAACTAGACTGGAATTTCTGGGCTCGATCGTAGCGCCATCAGTGACTATTACGAGTCATGTCCCTTCTATGTCCCTGCTATTTTACCAATCAGATTCCATCTCTCATATCACTTGCATTTGCTTCAAACAAAATGGCGGTGCCCAGTCAAGAGGCCCTGACCGATAATCAGGATCTATATTGTAATATAACGGGTCTTACTTCGTGTAGCGTTTCAAATCATGTGAGCACCTTGATTAAAACATGACACGATAAGGAAGATATTTGTTGACGTTAAGTTGACGGTACACATTAGGGCTGCAACGGTTCACCAATACTTCGATTCGGTTCGATGCTTGATTATTTCTATTCGATTCGATTATTTTCGATTCGATTCATTAGTCTAATAATATACAATGATTCATGTATAATATGCATAAATAAGTAACAAAACGTGTATTTACTTTAACTTTTTTATTGAACAGTGCGACACTGTGCACCAACAGGACAAACTCATCACCTCAGACTGTGAGGTCAATCAGGTCATCAGGGATGATCATGTTTTTGGATAAAAACACCAGCATGTCCACATTGTCACTACTGAGGGAAGCCCTCTGAGCAGTCACAACATCCCCGGCTGTTGAAAAGACCCTCTCACTAGCCACAGTTGTGGCAGGTGTGCCAAGGCACTGTTTGGCATATTTTGACAACAAGGGATACTTTCCCTCACTCACCCTCCACCAACTCAGTGGGTCAGACTCTAGGCTGGGCACCTCATCTTCTTTATAAATACTGATCTCACTCTCTGTACGTTCATACAGACTTTTAGCTTCCTCCACATGGGTCACAAAGACATCACCAAACAGATCAGATAATGCACAACTCTCCTTGTCGCCCTTGGCTTTTATTTTAGCAGGTGGTTCTGCATCATCATCATCATCATCATCATCATGAACATTAGTTACTTCACCAGATCCTGCACCAGATGTTGATGGAGTTGCTTCTGTGATCATTGGAAGATTGGGCTCAGTCCAAGTCTCAGTGGGCTTAGTTGAGGGATCACCAGACTCAGTTTTCACTGTAACCTGAAGCAAATAAAAATAGTTTAAAATACTTCATTGTAAGTTGGATATATTATATAAACTTCCAAAAGCACAATTCATTTTTCATCTACAAATATGAATTTACTTTTATTATTAGTATACCTGTGACTGTAAAATGGTGTGGAGCTCAACAGTACTCTGACCGATGGAGTGGTAGACGTTCCGTCTGGATGCTGCATCAATGTTAGGCAGTGCCTTAAATCTGCGATCAAGGGCAGAAGAATTTAGGAGGAAACTCAACGTATCATCCTTGGAATATCTGAAAAGTGGAAATAATAAACATTATAAATTTGATATTAAAAAAATAAAATGATCTGAAGAATAAGCGGTGATCAAAAATAAAACGGATCAAATAAACTTTATATGTCAATTAATTTGCAAACAATTTAAAAAAAAAGTGACTTGTCAAAAAATGACAAATTTATTAATGCAGTTATACATACCTGGGATTGAGGTCAGTGTTGATTGCTTGTTTAACATCAGACACCAGCCCACTGTCATTGGGACAGACTTCAAGTTGTTTCAGCAACATCTCCTTCAGTGGGTGAATGAGAGACGCAGTTGGTTTTTTTTGGCTACACATCAATGTTCCGACGGTTTTCAGAGGTTTTAATACCTTGATGATGTCTTCAATGTTGTGAATGTTATCATCACTCAGTGTAACAATATCCTTGACATTTCTTCTAATGTCAATTAGAGTAGCAAACACAGCGGTCCGTTGCTCAATGAATCTCTCTAACATATCGTACCTGGAATTCCATCTTGTTGGAACATCATTGATCAGTTTGTGGTTGGGGAGTTTAAGTTTTTTTCTGATTCAATGCAAGAGAGCTTGTGGCCGATGCACTCTTGTGAAAGAAGTTAACTACACGTCTCACTCTCCCAAGAAGCCTCTCCATGTGGTTAACTTTGAGACCACGTTGAGTGGCAATGTTAACAGTATGAGCAAAACATCCAATGTGTGGATGTAAACCAGCTTCCTTGGCCGCTTTGACAATGTTGCTTGCACTGTCTGTAGTGATAGCAGGACCACACCCATTTCTAGTAAGGTCCCACTCGGAAACGGTCACTGAGAGACTTGCAGCTAGGTTTTCTGCTGTGTGAGATTCGCTGAATTTCTTTGTTTGTAAGGTATAGTTCTGTATTTGCCAATCTTTGTCAATGAAATGAGCAGTGACTGCTACATAATTTTCAGTAGCCCTCGAAGTCCATGCATCTGTCGTTATAGATACAGTTTCAGCTTCTTTCAACTGACGTTTCACTCTTGCCACTACAGTTTTCATTATGTTAGGCAGTACAGTATTAGAGAAATAAGTCAGAGATGGTAAATTGTATCTGGGCTCTAAAACATGTATCATGTGTTTGAATCCATCATTCTGAACAGTTGAAAAAGGTCGCATGTCACAAGCTAAGTATCCTCCGATGGCCTGAGATATAAGTGTGGATTGATAAGTAGTCAATTTTGCCTGTCGCATAACTTCTGTGAGTTTATTTTGACCAGATGGAACTGGCTTACTTTCGTTTTTGAACTGCTTAGTCTTCGCGTTGACATCGAGTCCATGCTTTCATTTCAAATGGATTGAAAGATTAGCTGTGTTTCCGGCCTTGTACGTAATGTCCTTGTAACAAACTTTACAAGTTGCAGCATCTTTCGACTGTTGCCTAAACCCGAAATGAGCCCAAAACCTTAGATTTTAGATGACATGGGGCTGGTGACAGCACGTCGTCTGCCATGCTTTCAAAGGGAGGTCACTCTAATCAATTTTCGTTTTCAAGTGACAGTCGTCAAAAATTTCAAACAAATGCAATTTTGGACATTTTCACTTCGTCGATATGAATGCATGTCTTTTAACTTTTTTCGTCAACGAGGTAGGTTATTTTGGTTAATTTTAAATTTATTACAAAAATTGGAATGAAACGAATCGAAATCTAGACATTGTAGATCGAAGATCGAATCGAGACGACAAGTACCGTTTCTCGGTGCACCGAATCGAACCGGATGTCAATTTCGTTACGCGATTTTGATTGGACGATGTATAAACTCATTAGTTCAGCCAAAGTACAACTCAAATATTCCAGCCTAATTCGGCCAGGGTTAAAACTGGACTTTTATAGTCAGTTAAAACCCAAACCTCAGGAAGATGTGAAATCTGAGGCAAATACTAAGGCAACATGTGATGATAGACCTACATTTGCTTAAAGTTAGATCATTTTGTTTATCATTTCGTATACTGCTGATGATGGAATGTTTTTGGAGTATACATTATTTATCCATATTGATTAAATGCATCTTTTTTATCAATTTTTTTATGCCTTTGTTTTCGGTGTTTCAGACACCTCAGGCAGAGCAGGAGCAAAAGGTAATGTGTTTTATCAGTTATATATTTATGATAGATATCCCATATAGACTATTACATTTGTGAAAACATCCTACCTTATCCTTAACATATGAAGGCGACACGTCAGAGTGGAGAATACATGTCCAAAGATTCAAAAATTGTAACTGATTCTATTTCTGATACCAAACTAAAAGTACCAGTGACGATCCGGGATAGAATAGGTCTTCAGTAACCCATTATTGTCGTAAAAGGCGACTATTCTTGTCGAAACAGGCGACTAACGGGATCGGGTGGTCAGGCTTGCTGACTTGGTTGATGAATGTCATCGTGTCCCAATTGCATGGATCCATTCTCATGATGTCAATAACTGGACTGTCTGGTCCAGACTCGATTATTTACAGACCCCCGTCATATAGCTGGAATAATTGCTGAGTGCGACGTTAAACAACAAACAAACAAATCGGATACCAAATTAATACTCGCTGCACATCCAATTTCACATGGTACAATAGAGCCGGTGTGGCCTGTTAAATCAGAGCAATGTTCAAACATTTTTTCATTATGATTTGGACCAAGTATGTTCCATTTCAACCTCGTTAAAATGTTGAAAATTGAACGCTTTCATATAAGGTGAGCTGACAATCGATCTGACCTTAAAGAACAAATTCATGGCTCATGAACGTTCCACAGACCCTTAATCATGAAGACGTGCGGATGTCGATACGAATCTTAAACCATTTGAAGTGATAGCTTGATGAAGTGATCTTCAGCGGCTGACGAAAAGTCTGATCTTCATCACACAAATATCGCATTGTGCCCGTGTTTTCGTCTAACATAAAACTTAAACTGTATACTTGTGTTGACACTTATTCGCCATATAATTAAACATCGTATTTTACAGGCCACTTTAGTTCTCTCCTGCTGTCGATGAGGTGTGCCTTCTGTCGCCAACAAAGAAATCAGCCATGCATCGATCGAGTTTGTTCCTTGATATCGGAAAGTCACTAAATATGGCGAGACGATAACTACACACGAGTGAGTGAGTGAGTAGCGGTCTATGACGTTAGTGACAATATTCAAGCAATATACCATGTATAGGAATAAAATTGTTTGGTAGCCACACCGCGTTTTTCCTAGGATCATGCATTAAACGATGACTAAGTTGATGCATGTCATTGTGTCCCAATTGCGTGGATCGATGCTCATGATATCAATCATGAAATGTCTGGTCCAGTCTCGATTATTTACAGATCGCTGTAGCCATACTCCCTCACTCACTCAAAGGATTATAAAACGATACTAATGTATATTCTATGACGAACTTTTGTTATATTTTGGCATTATGAAATAAAAAATGCAGTTTTCATCAAAAATGCAATGCAGATAATGCCGATGTAGAGATGATGATGTTCAGTGGTGACCGCAAATAAAGAATTGTTTGATTCAAACAGAAATGTTGTGTGATTTATTGTTATAAAAAAACAATCGAAAAGCTGCACAGCACATACAAGCTTTAAAACACTGCTTGCAATATCACCAAGTGCCCTAAGGAAATGGCACAGGCGATAAGGAAACATGCAAGGAAAGTTAGGAAACATTATACCTGGCGGTGTCTTAAGCAGTATAGAGTGTCCACACCAATTCGACGAAGAATAACAGTATGACGCTCTTGATGATAATATTACACATTCACGTTGGCCATGAGAAGTAGGCATCTGGCATGATAGTCTCGTCTGGGAAAATACGAGCTCATTTGTAGCCTTTGGGAAATACGACTTCATTTGTGAGACGGACACGTCTTCTTGAATAACAACATCGACGTTCTCATTCTGCTGGTGAACATCAGACGGTGAGTTTAATTAGTGAGATCGGTTTACGTTAGTTGTTTAGCAGATTTATATTCTATATTTTCAATTTACTGAAATCTTCTATTCTTTCTTTGACAAGTAAGGTTCGTAGTGATAGCAATAGAGATTAATTTGCAGTTTTGCACCGATGTTGATTCCTGCTCAAAGCATCCCAGTGAATCAGGATCAGAGTAGATCCAGTGTGCAAAATAAGCGCATACACGGTAGTCCCAGGTTACCTTCTCGGACGGTGGGGTAGCCTAGTGGTTAAAGTGTTCGCTCGTCACGCTGAAGACCCAGGTTCGATTAGGTACAATGTGTGAAGCCCATTTCTTGTGTCCCCCGCCGTCATATTACTGGAATATTGCTAAAAGCGGCATAAAATCAAACTCACTCACCCATTCACAACCACATCTTACTCTAGTTATCCAAATGATAAAATTCTGGATATGGTATCAGATTGTAGTCCTAACGTTGCTGAAACTGGAAGTGTATTTCCCTCTTTGCTACCAGACGTCTGCTTGTATTTGTCAGGGTAAACACCTGGCTAAATAAATCTGAAATAGGCTGATATCTAGATAGTTGGCTAATGCTGATGAAAATGGATTTACATTTGGATCCAGAGGTGGGTAGAGGGGTTGTCGTGGGTAGGTCTAGGGTCCAGGGTCAAGGGTCCAGGGGTCCGGACACGCGCGTGAAACGGCATCAAATTCGTGGAATTTTACCTGATCACAGACAGTCTACATTTAACACTAAGATTCCGCGAATGCGAAATCTTACCTTTGACCGGCATTAATTCTTCGACAGTTAATGCAATGTAATGAATTTGGCGATTGATATACATTTTGATTGATATCTAATACTACAACAATGAATTCAAAATGACTTGACATTGTTGTTAATATAAACTTCAAACACGTGCCGACATTGTTCCTTCAGTCGCCTCAAAGTCACCAGGGCCCACTTGCACAAAGCGATGTTAGCGCTAAGATGAACGTAACTCCCATACTTTAACATAGGCTTACGAGAGGCTTAGCGCTAAGATGACTTTGTGCAAGTGGGCTCAGCTCTCATGACTTCGAAAAACACCCAAAAACTCTTGTCGGTATGCACTTTCTCAACAACAACAGTCTGTGTAAACGTATTCTACAACAAGTAAGGTTTATTTAAAAGACTCAAGTGAGCATTTGTCTTACTTTTTTAACAGCCGTCAATGTCGTTGTCTTTTGATGTCTCGCCCGCTTTCATAGAATTCGTTTTATACCGCGACTACGCTATTGTTTCACTATAAGGTATCCCGGTGTTCTTGTTTGTATTCTTACATCGTAAACAACATGTGTGAATGAGATGTATTTGAATTTATAAAAAATACTTTTTAAAACGCCTTATGTTGTAGATTTTAAATGACAAATATCATATGACAGAAACTTTTTTGTGGGAAAAGACGAATGAACATAATAAAAGTAAATTCTGCCCGCGGCTGAAATCTACATCCGCTTGGGGTTCGTAACATTTTTCCAGTTCACGAAATAAACTGTGGATATTTGGGTAAGTAAACCACATTAATCACATTTAGATGACTTGTACAAGTGTAGAAATGTGTTATCTATCAATGTCGGCCAGATATGTGCTTGTCAATAAGTGTATCATAAAGAAATCGACCTGGTTATGGAATGTAAACAAGCCGGCAAGATGGCGAGTGACAAACCGTTGTAGTAGGTTCAAACGACTCCCCCTAAATTTGACTCTAGAGTCATATGGGCTTAGGCTCACATGACTCCCCTAGCCAGGTTTAAAACACTCCCTCTGGGCTCAGCTAACTCCCCTACAGGGGCCAAATGACTCCCCTTGTTTCGAAACAAAATGATTACAGAATAGATCAAACATATCTTGTATTATAAAGGTTTTCAACCCCTCTTCCTCTTCCTCTTCCTCTTCCCTCTTTCTTTTCTGAAATGTCAGGTTACAAGTGTTACCCAATATTGTGTCCGATGTTTTAGTACAAGTTCTGTTATTATAGTTTTATATTCAACTTTAGTTGGAAAATTCAAGGTGCCTCCCTTAAATCAGGATACTTTTCCTAACCTATAATTTATTTTAAAAAGACTCCCTGTATCATACATCCGATTCTTCAGTTTCAGGCTCAAACTACTCCCCATATTCTATGTCCGATTCTTGAGTATCAGTCTCAAACTGCTCCCCCCTATTCTATATCCGGCTCTTGAGTATCAGGCTCAAACTGCTTCCCCTATTCTATATTCGACTCTTGAGTATCAGGCCCAAACTACCCCTATTCTATGTCCGACTCTTGGGTATCAGGTATCAGGCTAAAACTACTCCCCCTATTCTATGTCCGACTCTTGAGTATCAGGCTCAAACTACTCCCCCTATTCTATATCCGACTCTTGAGTATCAGGCTCAAACTGCTCCCCCTATTCTATGTCCGATTCTTCAGTATCAGGCTCAAATCCCCCCTCCCCCCACCCCATTATCTTTCCGATTCTTGAGAATCAGGCTAAAACTACTCCCCCTATTCTATGTCCGACTCTTGAGTATCAGGCTCAAACTACTCCCCCTATTCTATATCCGACTCTTGAGTATCAGGCTCAAACTGCTCCCCCTCTTCTATATCCGACTCTTGAGTATCAGGCTCAAACTACCCCCCCTATTCTATGTCCGACTCTTGAGTTTCAGGCTCAAACTGCTCCCCCTATTCGTCACTTGATTCTTCACATCAGGCTCAAACTGCTCCCCTTATTCTATATCCGACTCTTGAGTATCAGGCTCAAACTACCCCCCCTATTCTATGTCCGACTCTTGAGTGTCAGGCTCAAACTACTCCCCCTATTTTTCACTTGATTCTTCACATCAGGCTCAAACTGCTCCCCCTATTCTATATCCGACTCTTGAGTATCAGGCTCAAACTACCCCCCCCCCCCCCCCCCCCCCCTATTCTATGTCCGACTCTTGAGTATCAGGCTCAAACTACTCCCCCTATTCTATGTCCGACTCTTGAGTATCAGGCTCAAACTGCTCCCCTTATTCTATGTCCGACTCTTGAGTTTCAGGCTCAAACTACTCCCCCTATTCTATGTCCGACTCTTGAGTATCAGGCTCAAACTGCTCCCCTTATTCTATGTCCGACTCTTGAGTATCAGGCTCAAACTACTCCCACTATTCTATGTCCGACTCTTGAGTATCAGGCTCAAACTGCTCCCCCTAAGTTTTATTACCACCAATGATTCTGAGCTGATTGGGTAGCCTAGTGGTTAAAGTGTTTGCTCTTCACGCCGAAGACCCGGGTTCGATTCCCCACATGGGTACAATGTGTGAAGCCCTGGTGTTCCCGTCGTGATATTGCTGGAATATTGCTAAATGCGGCGTAAAACCATACTCACTCACTTGCTGATTCGGGTGTCCTGGTCACCCTTGTTGGCTAGATGTCGTCTATATATGTTTTCAACATTCTACGTCATATCTGCATCATACATGTACGCCTCAATTGAGAAATTGTCAGATCTCAATCACCTCCAGTTTAGACAATGTAATGTCTTCAATTTTGGTATCGACCGACATTTCAGATATTTTATGTGACATGTTGATTGATGTCGGTGTAATTGCAAAATGACGAAATTTAAAATATATGGTGACGTCAAGTTTGTGACAATATGGTACAGACCACCTTCCGCTTTCAATAACTCGAGATAACCCTAGGTAGGCCACGATTGGTGGCCAGGTCGTTAATCGGTGAGCTCCACTCTCTTGTCTTCAGTGTTGGTATCGTTCGACATTTCAGATATTTTATGTGACATGTTGATTAATGTCGGTGCTATTGCAAACTGACGAAATTTCAAATATATAGTGACGTCAGGTTTGTGACGAAATGTTACAGACCGCTTTCTTTCAATTACTCGAGATATCCCTAGGTAGACCACGATCGGTGGCCAGGTCGTTGATCGACATGTGCGTGGCACTTGGGCTCCACTCTCACACCATGCATTGGTCAATCTGCGACCAGGTAACAAACGTGATCTATCCAGGGATGTCTCTCTTATATGAATGTGGTAACTACAACATACTGGCAGATGAATGTTCAGTGCTTCGGCGCGTGGATTGACTTTGGATTTAGAGTAGCACATGTTATAAAGACCCGTGAAGATTCCGGGGTAGAATAGGTCTTCAGCAACCCATGCTGGCCGTAAAAGGTGACTATGCTTGTCGTAAGAGGCGACTAACGGGATCGGGTGGTCAGACTCGCCGACCTGGTTGATGCATGTCATCGTGTTCCAATTGCGTGGATCGATGCTCATGATGTCAATCACTGGATTGTCTGGTCCAGACTCGATTATTTACAGACCGCCATCATATAGCTGGAATATTGCTGAGTGCGGCGTTAAACAACAAACCAACCAACCAACCAACCAACCAACCAACAATGCACTGGTCAATCTGCGACCAGGTAACAAACGTGATCTATCCAGGGATGTCTCTCTTATATGAATGTGGTAACTACAACATACTGGCAGATGAATGTTCAGTGCTTCGGCACGTGGATTGACTTTGGATTTAGAGTAGCACATGTTGTAAAGACCCGTGAAGATTCCGGGGTAGAATTGGTCTTCAGCAACCAATGCTTGTCGTTAGAGGCGATTAACGGGATCGGGTAATCAAGGCTCACTGACTGGTTGATGCATGTCATCGTATGCCAATTACGTAGGTCAATCCTCATCAGATAATTTATGTGGTAACTACAAAATACTGGCAGATGAATGTTCAGTGCTTTGTGCGCGTGGATTGACTTTGGATTTAGAGTAGCACATGTTATAAAGACCCGTGAAGATTCCGGGGTAGAATTGGTCTTCAGCAACCCATGCCTATAACGGGATCGGGTGGTCAAGGCTTACTGACTTGGTTGATACATGTCATCGTATCCCACTCACGTAGGTCGATCCTCATGATGTCAATCACTGGATTGTCTGGTCCCGAACTCGATTATTTTCAGTCCTCCGTCACACAACTGGAATATTGCTGAGTGCGGCGTTAAACCGAGAAACAACAAACAAACACACAAAACATGTTATAAACAACAATTTTAATGCAAATTCTTTTTCTCCTGCATCCAATGTTCTCACAACCTTTGTAGCAAATGCTGCAAAAAGGTATTTTGAACTGATGCTTGTTTATCCGCTATTATAATCATGTATATTGATGTAGAAACATCCAAACTGAATGTTGTCAGATCTTGCTTATCCAGTCGCGTCCTTGTGATAGAGACTGGCAGATATTATCCAATATCAAGGCCTATGTTACGTCTGTGTTCTTTCTCTAGTGTGCGATCTGTCGATATTATTACATATCTATCCCATACAGAGTATTTCTGTAACAGAATAAGCATCATTGATAAGTTTGCATTATTTGTAACATTGCTATGAAACGAAATAGTTTTCTTCAGAATAATCCCGTTAAATATAACCATAAGGAATAATCAACTTCTGTTGTGTCATGTGTGAATAGAATATCCATTGTGCGTGTGTACATACAGCGTTCTGATCAAGCGACTTATAATTAATAATATAAACATGCATAATGGGCCAGTGGTCCCTTTACGTGAATACAAACATTTAGCATCACACCAGTAAGAGTTTATGATGGATCAGTTCAAAGAGTCATCAACGATCACGTAAAGGATCACGTTACTTCACTCATGGAAACAAAGCATTAACTAAAATAGTCATATATCACCAACTATGATTTATTTCAAGTCGAATTATAGCATTTGAGATACAGATCAAAATAGGCTCCCATTATATGATGCTTGGGGTATTAGCCTACGGAAATGGATTGGTGTTTAGGCTCGGTGACTGTATGTAACTTCATATCTACCCTAACAAAAGAACGGGAAGAATTACCATATTTCAATCAACGCACTAAGAGTATTTTTGACAAATTAACTCTCAGAAAATGAAATATCTGACGTTATAAATGTCTCCAAATTAACAAGGCATCTGGTCCAGACAGAATAAGTAACAACCTATTAAAGAAAACAGTAAACAGCATTAGTATTGTTTTATGTATGTTATTCAATCATTCATTGGCTTTAAATGCATATCCAACAGAATGGAAATGAGCGCATGTCATGCCATTGTATAAGAAAGGAGATCATTCAGTTGTGACAAATTACAGACCAATATCACTCATTAGTTGTATTGGTAAAGTGTTTGAGAGAGTTGTATTTAAGTATCTTTATAACTACTTTCATGACAATATAAATTATTATGTTATATAAATACCAGTCGGGCTTTCAAAAAGGCCATTCCACTGTCCATCAATTAATTGAATTGTATAATCTAATTTGTATATCTTTAGTTAATAGAGAAAAATATTGCATTGTTTTTTGCGATGTCTCAAAAGCATTTGATCGTGTCTGGCATAGAGGGCTTATGCACAAATTAGAAATGTATGGTATAAAACGGAATTTACTTGAATGCTGTCTAGTTACATATTAAGCAATCGTACTCAATCAGTGTTTGTAAGCGGGGTTCTATCCAAGCCAAAGATTTTGAAGGCTGGCGTTCCACAGGGGTCGGTGTTAGGTCCCTTTTTATTCATTGTATTTGTTAACGACATTGCTGATGAATTAGATTGCATAACAAGACTCTTTGCTGACGATACAGCACTCGGCTTTTCTTCACCAGACAATCAACTTGTTGAATCAACTCTAAATTTAAATCTGAGCAAGCTGTGTAACTGGGCAAAACGTTGGTTAATTAAATACAACCCAGATAAAACAGAAGCGGTTATATTTTCCTTAAAAGATGAATCAGACCTCATTACCTTGTACTTTAATGAATGTAAATTTAAGAATGTTCAAAATCATAAACATTTGGGTATAACGTTTGCATCAAACGGAAAATGGTCCTGTTACGTAGATAACATAATTAAATCAACATAAAAAATGATTAAATTAAAATTCATATCGAACAGAAATACATTAAATAAAGTATATACAATCTTCATAAGACCCCATTTCGAATATGCGTGTGAAGTGTGGGATGGGTGTAATATAGAATTATCAACTCGGTTAGAAAATCTCCAACTAGCAGATGCCAGAGTAGTTACTGGGCTCCCAAAGAATACTTCGCACACACATCTGTATTATGAAACAGGATGGGAAACTTTAATACAACGAAGAAGGAAACGTAAGCTGTGTTTGTTCTACAAAATACAAAGTAATATTGCCCTTACTTACCTTAAAGACATTGTACCAACCACTGTAGGTTCAAATATATCATATAATTTAAGAAATTCAGACAATATTGAGATTCCATATACTAGATTAAAACACTCAACGTGTTCTTTTATTCCATCAACTGTAAGGTTATGGAACACTATTCCTGCAGCAGGTAGAAATTGTACATCTACATCCCAATTCAAGACATACATACAAAAAGAGCAAGTCATTGCACCTCTATATTTTTCCTATGGTGTTAGAAAGTTGAATATTTATCATACTCGATTAAGATACATGAAAAGCCAGTTAAATTATGATTTATACAGAATAGAGATAGAATGAGGACATCTGAAACTTATTTCGCATATTTTTGCTTTCACTTTACAGATTTTACAATATTCCAGAATAGTTCCGATGAGCTACATGGCCTCGTGCATTATATTTTATATGTAACTTTACTCCATAAACATTCCATTTAGAAATCTCCGGAGAACACAGCCAGAATGATGAAGAGGTACGTGCTGTCTGTTGCCTTGACTCTGTGTGTCATTGGTGACTTCATTCCGGGTATCGGAAGAAATAGAGTGATGGCGGTTATTCCGAAGCAAGGTATTTATACTGTAGATGAAGTTACAGACGATCAGGCAGCATGGGGCAATGGGAAGGTCATCCTCTTCCTCGGTAAACTTAATGCCTTAGAATCCTTTAATATTCTGGGACACACTAAGTGGACAATTAGCTTACGAGTTGTGAAATCTGCATCTTCCTAAGGCAAGGGAGTTATCTGACTGTAAAAGTCCTCAGTGACTATTGCGAGTTATATCCCTCCTATGTCTCTCCTATTGACCAATCAGATTCCACCTCTCATACCACTTGCATTTGCTTCATACAAAATGGCGGCGCCCAGTCTAGACGCCCTGACTGATAATCGGGATCTATATTGTAATATAACGGGTCTTACTTCGCGAAGTGTATCAAATCATGTGAGCACCTTGATTAAAAACATGAAACGATTCGGAAGATATCTGTTGACGTTAAGTTGACGGTATACATGCTTTGCAAATCCTGTAATCGACCGAAATCTTAACGCCAGTTCACGAACCGGATGTCCATTTCGTTACGCGATTTTGATTGGACGATGTATAAGCTGGCTAGTCCAGCCAAAGTACAACTCAACGTAACTTCCATACTTTAACATAGGCTTCCGATAATCTTAGCGCTAAGATGACTTTGTGCAAGTGGGCCCAGCTCTCATGATTCTCAAGAACTCTTGTCGATCTGCCTAATTCGGCATGGGTTAAAACTGGACTTTTATAGTCAGTTAACACCCTAGCATTGGGAAGATGTGAAGTCTGAGGCAAATACTAAGGCAACATGTGATGATGGACCTACATTTGCTCAAAGTTAATCCTTCATTTTGTTTATCATTTCTGTAAATTGCTGATGATGGAATGTTGTTGTTTTTTGGTGTACACATCATTTATCCATTTTAATTAAATGCATCTATTTTATCAGTTTGTTGATGCCTTTCTTTTAGGTATTTCAGACATCTCAGTCACAGACCTAATAGCAGGTAATGTGTTTTATCAGCTATATATTGATGATAGATATCCCAAATAGACTTTTAAATTTGTGAATTTTCAGTGGTCCAAACACTCTACCTTATCCTTAACAGATGAAGGTGACCCGTCAGAGTGGAAAATACATGTCAAAAGATTCAAAAACTGTAACTGATTCTATTTCGGATACAATACTAAAAGTACCAGTGACGATCCGGGGTAGAATAGTTCTTCAGCAACCCATTATTGTCGTAAGAGGCGACTATTCTTGTCGTAAGAGGTGACTAACGGGATCGGACGGTCAGGCTTGCTGACTTGGTTGATGCATGTCAGTGTGTCCCAATTGCGTGGGTCGGTTCTCAATCACTGGACTGTCTGGACTGTCTGGTCCAGACTCGATTATTTACAGACCACCGTCATATAGCTGGAATATTGCTGAGTGCGACGTAAAACAAAAACAAAAATGGGATACAAAATTAATACTCGCTGCACATCCAATTTCACATGGTATAATAGAGCCGGTGTGGTCTGTAAAATCGGAGCAATGTGCAAACATATTTTCATTATGATTTGGACCAAGTATGTTCAATTTCAACCTCGTTAAAATGTTGAAAATTTAACGCTTTCATATTAGGTGAGCTAACAATCGGTCTGACCTTAAAGAACCAATTCATGGCTCATGAACGTTCCACAGACCCTTAATCATGAAGACGTGCGGATGTCGTTACGAATCTTAAACCCTTTGAAGTGATAGCTTGATGAAGTGATCTTCAGCGGCTGACGAAAAGTCTGATCTTCATCACACAAATATCGCATTGTGCCCGTGTTTTCGTCTAACGTAAAACTTAAACTGTACACTTGTGTGGACACTCATTCACCATATAATAAAACAGATTATTTTACAGGCCACTTTGGTTCTCTCCTGCTGTCGATGAAGTTTGCCTTCTGTCGGCGACAAAGAAATCAGCCATGCATCGATCGAGTTTGTTCCTTGATATCAGAAAAGTCACTAAATATGTCGAGACGATAACTACACACGAGTGAGTGAGTGAGTGAGTAGCGGTTTATGACGTTAGTGACAAAATACCCTGTATAGGAATGTAATTGTTTGGTAGCCACACCCGCGTTTTTCCTAGGATCATGCATTAAACAATGTAGAACCATACTCCCTCACTCACTCAAAGGATTCATGTCATTGGATCCGTAGTTAACATCAATAAAACGATACTAATGTATATTCTATGACGAACTTTTTTTTATCCCGAGGAATAATTTTGGCATTGTGAAATAATAAATGCAGTTTCTAATCTGGGGCTAGAAAGGGACGGAATCACGCCCTTCCCTAATCTGGGGCTAAAAAGAGACGGAATCACGCCCTTTCCTAATCTTGGGCTAGAAAGGGACGGAATCACGCCCTTTCCTTATCTGGGGCTAGAAAGGGACGGAATCACGCCCTTTCCTAATCTGGGGCTAGAAAGGGACGGAATCACACCCTTTCTTAATATGGGGCTAGAAAGGGACGGAATCACTCCCTTCCCTAATCTGGGGCTAGAAAGGGACGGAATCACGCCCTTCCCTAATCTGGGGCTAGAAAGGGAAGGAATCACGCCCTTTCCTAATATGGGACTAGAAAGGGACGGAATCACGCCCTTTCTTAATCTGGGGCTAGAAAGGGACGGAATCACGCCCTTTCTTAATCTGGGGCTAGAAAGGGAAGGAATCACGCCCTTTCCTAATATGGGACTAGAAAGGGACGGAATCACGCCCTTCCCTAATCTGGGACTAGAAAGGGACGGAATCACGCCCTTTCCTAATCTGGGACTAGAAAGGGACGGAATCACGCCCTTTCCTAATCTGGGACTAGAAAGGGACGGAATCACTCCCTTCCCTAATCTGGGACTAGAAAGGGACGGAATCACGCCCTTTCTTAATCTGAGGCAAGAAAGGGACGGAATCACTCCCTTTCCTAATCTGGGACTAGAAAGGGACGGAATCACGCCCTTCCCTAATCTGGGGCTAGAAAGGGAAGGAATCACGCCCTTTCCTAATATGGGACTAGAAAGGGACGGAATCACGCCCTTTCTTAATCTGAGGCAAGAAAGGGACGGAATCACGCCCTTCCCTAATCTGGGGCTGTACACCTTTCTGCGATGACCGTATCAATAGCTGAAACACAGGCTGATAAACTATCTACCCCTCAGTCTCAGCCAGAAACACTATCTACCCCTTCAGTCTCAGCCAGCTACACAATCTACCCCTCAGTCTTAGCCAGCTACACAATCTACCCCTCAGTCTCAGCCAGCTACACTATCTACCCCCTCAGTCTCAGCCAGCTACACAATCTACCCCTCAGTCTCAGCCAGCTACACAATCTACCCCTCAGTCTCAGCCAGCTACACAATCTACCCCTCAGTCTCAGCCAGCGTTAGGTCAAAAATTAGGAGGTGTACGGAGAGTTAAAAATTAGTTTGAAGGTAATTTAAGCAGGGCTGCCAGAGAATTAAATATTGATCGAAAAGATGGATGTCAGAGGAGTAGGTCATGTCAAATAATGACGGCAGAAGGAACAAACGTCGCATGGGCAATCCTGGGCGTAAACCGCAAGAATCAGACTTCGAAGAAGCATTGTTGGTGTGGTTTAAAGAACAAAGAGCTGAAAAGCACGTTGTGCATTACATCAATATGACGGACCGGGCATTAACGCTGATGAAGGAAATGGGAATTAGCTTATCGCTAAAAATTAGTGATTCTTGGCTCTGTAAATTTCGCAAACGCCATAACATTTCATCCAGGAAGATCACCCATCACGGACAGCAGGACAAACGGAACTTAATGATTCAACGAATGGTCAGCTATGATCATCTCCGTGGTGTGCAACAGTTGGCAGCAGAACTCGACAAGACCAAGACATTTAACATGGATGAAACTCCATGTTACATCGACAGGGCAGGGCAGACAACGCTCGACTTTGTTGGATCGAAGAACGTTGATGGCCTGACGACTGGACACGACAGAAACAGATTCACCGTTGTTCTGTGTACATGCTTGGATGGGCGTATCCTCAAGGTCATGGTCATTCTCAAGAACCTGGTCCACCTCCCAAAATGCAAAGTTCCAAAGAACATTGAGTTGTTTGTGTCCAAAGGAGGTTCAATGAATGAAACGCTGATGCTTTCTTGGATAGAACGCGTGCTCAAATCCCGTGGGTCGTATTTTGTGAATCAGCCATCTCTACTCTTGATGGACAGTCACAGAAGTCATTGCACAGATCCTGTGGTTAAGTCACTGAAGTCCCTGAATGTCGCCACTAAACTTATTCCTCCAAAGACGACATCCTATCCCCAGCCGCTTGATGTATCAGGTGGGGGTCAACGCTCATTCAAGGCTGCAATGAGAAAAGCTTGGCAGGGTTGGTTGATCAACGGGGACAAAGAATTCGCCCCAACCGGGAAGAGAAAGAAGCAATCTTATGATGTTCTTCTCCAAATGGTTTCGGAATCGGTGGAATTTATCCCATCTTCTGTCGTCATCAATTCCCTTCAGCTGTGTGGTGTTGCTGAGCTCGGCAATGACGTAACAATGGAACATCTGATCTCCCTCTGAAGGCTTTGCACACTCCGTCGCAGTGGTGACTCAGCATAACACTACTGCCACAGGCTAATTTGCATATCACGTGACCGGACTTTTCTCTTGTTTGTAAACAAACGCGCTTTTTCAGAAATCAGTATAGAACGGACTAATGCAAGTATTTGGGGTCGCTTAACATCTTGTTTTGCATAATTATATAAATATGCTACTACCACTGCGACAGTGAATTTCATGACAATATATATTTATACATCAAAGTGACCGTATCGCTAGCTCTCCGTTGGGCTTCGAAGACAGCACGTGGAGCCGTACAACCAATGTAAACAAAGGAAAACTACGCAAAAACAAATAGATTTTCACGTACTAGGATACTTTCTTAATGAACCGTAACCATTCTATGACATATAATTTAGTTTTTAGTTCATGGCCGCGGGAGGTGAGTCCGTTGGCGTTCCACTGAAAAATATTTAGTCCTTCCATTATTGGGTTCGGGTGATAGGTGATTTAATTTTTAGTTTTTATTTTATTCGGTGACTTCTTTTAGGTGGAGGTTAAAGAGGAAGAAGGAAAGATCGGTTAATTTTATATTGAAAGCTACTTTGTGGAAGGATTTCATGCTAGCTTTTGGTGAGTTTTGACTATGCATGTATACTAGGAGTATATAGGTTATTTAGGTTTTGGGTGTTGGCTGGTTGGGGCGTTTTGCGGTTTAGTTATTTCTTCCTTTTTGGGGCTGAGAGGGAATTTTGGTTTGTTTTAGTTGGAGTAGTGTCTATTGTTTCCTCAGTAGTGGAGAAATCTTCATCATCGGTTAGATTAGGTTTAGCTGTTTGAGTTTCCATAGGACGAAAACACATTAAATGGCCTGGCCCGTGTGCGAAATACGCATCAGTCGGAATGCGCACGTTGAATCTCAAAAGTAAGTAAGTAAGTAAGTAAGTCAATAGTTGAGGGTATTGCCTAAAAGTCGGGCCAGCCGGGCCAAGACGGACCAAAGTGTTATTGGCTAATTTCTTCATTATCGGTGATCATACCTACATATCATTGATGCAACATAGACACATGAGATTTATGAACAAGCACCAACCAAAAATGAGATGTAAGCGTCGCTGATCTAGGTAACATGTAAAAGATCAATCGTTAAACGAAATAAGATTTGAAACGTATCAAATACTTCCAGCTATCCTGATACAAATTTCCATCTGTCGGCGTGGCGTTTATATTTATAGGAACGTACTATTGCTAAGTAAATACCACTTTATAATGTCACTGTTGATCGTATTTAAAGCAGACACGTTTGTTATAGTAGACCTCTTCTCCCCATACTCTCAACTGTCTCACAAGTGTTCGGTCCGACTTGGCCCGGGCTGTCAAGATCAACTTAAACCTCACAGATGTAACATGAAATGGACTCACACCTATAGAC